CGGGAAGAGCAGGAGCCTGCCGGCGGCCGGGGGCGACGAGGGGGGCGGCGAGGGCGGCGGCCGCTTGAAGCGCTTCCTTCGCCGGAGGAAGCTCCCGTTGCGGAACATGTCCTGCGAGGCCGGGTGGAGGCGCCAGTGGTGGCCCTTGCCGGCGCTGCCGGGCTCGCGGGGCACCTTGACGAAGCAGTCGTTGAGCGAGAGGTTGTGCCGGATGGAGTTCTGCCAGGCCGGGAAGCGCGCCCGGTAGTAAGGGAAGCGCCCGCGGATGAAGGCGCAGATCCCGCGGAGCGGCAGCTTCTGCTGGGGGCTCTGCAGGATGGCCATCGTGATCGCCGCTCCTGGGAGGGCAAGCGCCGGCTCCCTCGGGCACCCTTTCGCCGGGCAGGATTGCCGCCCTTCCTCGTGTGGGCCGAGCGGCAACCCCCCGCCTTGCTCCCGGCTCCTCCCCAGCGGCCCAAGGTTCGTACGTCAATTCTCCGTTCGCAAGTCAAAATTGATTTTTGCGGACGGAGAAGTACGTAACTCAAAAAGTACGTACCTCGGGCCGTTCGCAAGTCAAGACCCCACTGTATTTCAGCGACATGGAGAGGAGGGATTTGCTGCTTGGGTAACAGTCTATCCTCCATATTATTTTACCCAGGCTTTGTGCTCTGGAGAGGACACTCTAGCTTCGCATACAGCATCGAAATAACCCGGGAAGTAGCAGCTACCATTATAAGTCTCTGCTTGATTGGCGTAGAGCATGACACCAGGGGCTATGTCCAAGGGTGGGAGAGGTCATTGCACCTCACTAGGTAGCTACTACCCACGTTAAGCTGGGCAGCCCCCAACGGTATGTTGACCTCATGGGGTGTGTGGGGTTTAGGATGAAAGCTGACAAGCAGATCGATAACCTTGCACCATGCAACAGTCATAAGAAAACTTCTGCCCTAATGCTGAGCACCTGGAATGTTTGGACAATGACCCCTGGCTTTTCTGATGACCTGCAGGAAATAGATAATGTGTGCAAGACAGCTGTTATCAATATGGAACTGAGTAGGCGGAAGATGGATATTGTTGCCCTGCAAGAGATCAGATTGCCAGACTTGGGATCTGTCAAAGAAAAACAATTCTCATTCTTCTGGCAGAGAAAACCATTGAATGAGACCAGGGAATATGGTGTTGGCTTTGCGGTCAGAAATACTCTGCTGAGATCCATTGTTCCACCTACTGCGGGGAGTGAAAGAATCCTGTCTCTGCAGCTCCACTCATCAGCAGGACTGGTTACCCTCATTAGTGCATATGCACCAACACAATCGTCTACAACAGAAATCAAAGACAAATTGTATGACGTTCTGGAGGGAAGGTGGAGTACCACAAGACATGAAGGATGGAAACATCGTCACACTGTATAAGAACAAAGGAAACAGGGGTGACTGCAATAACTACCGTGGCATCTCTCTTCTCAGCGTTGTAGAGAAACTGCTTGCCCGTATTGTACTGAAGAGGCTCACATATATGCATACATACATATGTCCATGAACTTACACATATACAGAAAACATATAGTATTAAGAATTAATGACAGAAAAATAACAATGACAGAGCATCCTAAAGAGTGTGTACACACACATACACATTTCATATTTTAAAAAATAGTTCTGTTAGCCACATTAGCCAGAGTGACCATGAAGTAAGCCGGCTTTGTAGATAAGCATAAACATTTCTTTGCCCTACAGGATTTACTCTGTCTATCTCTATTCCTGGCTTGGATCATCCATTGATTAAGTGCAAGGGAGGCTTCCTTGTCAGAGACCTGCATTTTGAAGTGCTTCCTGTGATGGTCTGTGTTGCAGAAAGAGGAGGAGCATTCCTAGTAGTTCTGTTGGCAGCCTGTTACACTCATACATTGGTCAGATCATGATCCAGCTGCCTGATTGTTGCAATTATTATATCTTGCCTTTTGCAATATTTATTTATTTATTTTATTTATATCCCGCCTATCTAGTCACTTAAGACCACTCTAGGCGGCTTACAACAAGCGTGATACAATATAATTAAAACAATTTTTAAAAGGGGACAAACTTTGGACAAGATGGAACAGACACTAAGAGAGAGGAAAAAAGAGGGAAAATCAGGAATTGGTTGAGGGGAAGGCCTGCCGAAACATCAGTGTTTTTAATTGTTTTTTTAAAAATACCCAGCGAGGGAGCCGCGTGAATGTCAGGGGGAAGGTTATTCCAGAAGCGAGGAGCCACCGCCGAGAAGGCCCGATTTCTTGTCTTTTCTTTCCAGCTCCGGATTTTGCCTCAAGGTTTACTCATGAAGCCTTTTCCATCAATGGATATAGCCACAAGGCAGTGGAGGTTCGAAATCGGAGTTTTCCTTCTCCTAGATGGGCTGCCTTCCATGGCTGACGAGCCCCACCTACCCGGCCAGCTCTTTAATAGTGCGAAAGTATGATCTGACACTTAAAACTTTCCTGCCTCCCAGGCTTATGCAAATCTAATTGGCTTTCCTATTTACCATATTAAGGCCAGAGATAGAATTTGAGAAGTTCGTGCACCGTTAGGCTCGCGGTCCTGGGACTCACTCTTTTAAAGCAGAAAGTCCCACCCCTAGGCCCCACCCCCAGGCCATGTGGTGAGGAGACAAAGAGAAAGCCCAGGGGAAAAAAACTCAGCAAGGCATCCATGCAAACATACCCGGCCTTCGCCCTCAGCCCAGCTTCCTAGGGAAAAGGGTCCAGGGTCCTTGGACACGCTTTTTTAAAGCAGAAAGTCCCACCCCTAGGCCCCACCCCCGGGCCATGTGGTGAGGAGACAAAGAGAAAGCCCAGGAAAAAAAACTCAGCAAGATGACATGAATGTATTCAAATAAATGTAGATTTGTTGTATATGAAAAAAATCCCCTGAAAATAAACCCTAATGCATTTTTGGAGCAAAAATTAATAGAAGATCCAGTCTTATTTTGGGGGAAACACGGTAGATTAAGAGCCAGTTCAGACTTTAGATAATAGGGAATATGTGCCCCAACCATATGGTTCTGAACTGCACCTCCCATCATTCCTAATGGGTGGCCTAGGTCTCATGGCAATTGCAAAGAAACAACATCTGGAGGGCCACATGTTGGTATGGCTACCCTGATGTAGGCAGCACAAAACCATTATCTTTGGAGGTGTGTTTGCATCAAAATAATAGTACATCTTGTGCGGCACCACTGTATAGTTTGAGAATCAGGATCTTTCACAAATTACAGCTCTGGTTTCCTGTTGGCTATTCCTGGAAATGGTTTTGAATTGCCAAACTACCATAAGTTTCTTGGCAAGCAAGAAAAATAGAATAGATATGCATTTCCTTTAAGGGTGTAACAAAGATGTCAACAAAGCTGCAAAACAGGCTCTTTAACTCAGAATGGAAGAATGAAAATTAAAACTGTCTATTATGCTCAGTGACAAATTTCTGTGGGCTCTAAGCTAGACTCAAGTACTTTTTTTTTTTTTTTTTGAAAGGATGGATGACTGTGGAAACCAGCCATGGTGGATATGACCCATCTTTTCCTCCTGCTTGCTTTTGCCACATGAATCAGTTTATTCCAAAGAACACAGTGTTGTGCCCACTGGGAAAAAAGCAAGAACAAAAACCAGGAAATATGTATTAAGCAAACGTCTCTAACCAGCAACACTACAATAAACAAAGTTACTAACTGAGGACACATTAGGATAAGTTGAACAAAGCACTTAGACTTTGTGTGTCTCTTACCCATCTATTTCTACTTCTTCCTTCTTTCCTTCTTACTTTATTTTTTTCCCGTCTGGAGTAAATGCCCCTTACTGTTTTTCCATGTCTCTTCCCATGCATGGAATAGTTTCTCAAGCTTCTCAGGTTTTTATGCCTATCCGTTCTATCAGCTCTCTCTTTATTAAAGCCCATTATTTTGCAAGTCCTTTCTAAGCCTGTTAGAACAGTGGTTCATGACCTTTGGTCCTCCAGATGTTTTGGACTTCAGCTCACAGTAGCCACAGCCAAGATAACTGGTGGTAGCCGAGGGTTTTGGAAGCTATTATTCATGGACTTTTACTAGGGATCCAGATATTACTGTATTCTATTTTATTCATGCCCCATTTTTTTTATTAGTATCATGCCAGCCCCTTCTTCAGGAAGATTCTTATTGACAGTATAGTTGGCATCTGGGAGAGACAACTGTTCGCCCTAGGGGTGCGTGGAAGCATTCCTGGAAGGGGACTGGCATTTGTCATGTCAGAGCAACCCAAAGGTTAAAGTTGTTCCCTTTCTGCACTACAGTTCTCAGAATTCCCCACCAGGCCTGGTCAGTAGCTGTGCTGGCTGAGGAATTCAAGGAACTGGGGGTCCGTGAAGGTAGCTTCTGCATGTGTTGCAGGAAATGTGGCTTCTCTCCTCTGTGATAGAAATAGAATGGATAGAACCACAGCTGTCCTCCAGCCATGCTTAGTCTTCTTGACAAACCAAGCCTCCTCTATTCCCACATACTCCTAAATTGGCAGACTCTGTTTTCACTGCGGATGTTCCAGCCTCATCTGGAAAATTATTTCCTTACCTCAGAAGTGACCTCAAGCCACCCACCAGATGTGGCACCAAGCACAACTGAGACCGCAGACGCCTGAATCAACTCTGTCTCTCTGGGATTCTGACATGGTCCTAACACACACACCCCAGTGCCCATAAGGGGGCGGATGACAGGCAGACACCATTCTGCTCCCTTCAAATAGGTGGCTCTCACTACAGGACTAGGCTTGCAAACCTGAGAAGCTATCAGTTGTGTACACTCAGGTATGTGTGGGGTTTTCTTCCCTTGGTGCTGGGGTTGTGGCATTGTTGAGGGAGGGTTGGTGATTAACACCAGTGTGGCATTGTTTACAAGGGTGTAAGATGAGCCTTTCACAGAATTTTCTCAGTGGCAGAAGCCCTATTCAGATACAGAAAAATCCCATCCTGGATAAGGGGCTTTGGCTTACATGGAGAGGTTATTCAGGCTGACCCATCTCCATCTTTAGATTGTTGCTTTTACTGTTGAAAGTGACACTGGAAGGAGGCAGTTCTAGTGCACGCCCTTCAATGCATGTGCATTGCATGTGTATGTGCATCCACATGCACCTCTTTAGACACAGTGGGACTTAATAATGAGTGCAAAACACTCTAAGAGAGAAAAAGATAGTTCAGGGTTTTTCTGCATTCATGTCTACAAAATGTCAAAACTGCTGGTTTTGGCTACATCAAGTGCAGATCTGTAGGGGTGAGATAATCTAAGATAGGACCTGATTCTTTTCTTTTTCTAGGTTAAAAACAAGTCTCCTACACATGTGTTCTCTCTCTCTCTCTCTCTCTCTGTCTCTCATATCACATTCAATGTGCACATGGCGCGTGTGTGTGTGTGCGCACACACATATACAATTGATTACTAAAGAAAAACTCTTCAGAAAGTGAGGCCTTTTTGAAGTC